GCCACACCCAGGGTCAGTTGCCCCTCTTCTCGCCCCACGCAAGTTGGCAGAGCCAGGTCTTTTCTGAAAACCGGGAGGGTAGGGGCCTGCCGCACTTCTGGGGGAAGGGTATTCCATAGGGCAGGGGCCCTGGCAGAGAGGGCTCTCCTCCTCGACATTCTCTCGCCGACGGGGTCCGTAGCGTTGTATGTATATCTACGTATTTCTGAAATTCCTCGCACAGCTAACCCTCTGTGAGCTCAAGAGGATCAGGCAGCCAATTCACAGGGGGCTTCATCCATGGGTTAGTCTGGGGTTAAATTGGGGGAGGAGTGAGGAAGAGAGGAGGGAACCTGAGGTTGCGGCCTGCCCTCGGGAAAAGCAGCTGCAGCCAAGCCGAAACGCTGCCCACCTCCGCTTCCCCAAGGCTAGGCTCAGCTCGTTCTTTTTCCCAAAAGGCCATAAGAGTCGTCTTGGATTTTCCAGGAGAAATGTGTTAATTTAAAAAAGGCTGACTAACAGTAGAGCTCTTTTGGTCTCCTTGAGATCTGTAGCCACGCACTACAGATACTCTGTCCTCTGGCACAGCAGCAGGTGCACAAGAACACACGCATGTTGGGTTTTTTTTTTTTCTCTTGATAGTAAACTTCGAGCGAAACTTGGGCTGAAGCCTCTGGAGATAAACACAATCAAAAAGGGTAGGTATTCTGTACTACATATTCTTCAGTATTCTGCGCTTTGCCATGGAGGCTGAGAGAGGTTCGTTGATCTTCTGCTTCTCATGTTCTCTGGACGTCTGTGACAAATTCTGTGTCATTTCAGCCATCTCAAGAGGGAACATCACTGCATTTATTACTGCATGGTAGGAGGAGATGGTTCTTCAAAGCTTGTAGGAAATGTTTCTTGGTGTATTTTCTCTGCTTTTTCAGCAGCTATTTAGCACATTTTTCTCACTAAACTGGCAACAATTTTGTGTGTGGGCTGGGCCACTTCATCCTGCTTACTCAACACATTTTTTCCTTATAAAATATGTAAATGGCTTCCAGAATTGCTGATTTTCCCTTTTTTAACTGCCCCCTTTAAAATGGAACAGCAAGGCCTTAGTAGAAAACAAGGGCACAGTTGTTCAGCTCTGAAATTCTTGACGGAAGGTTGGAGTTCTCCGTATCCAGTTTCCTGCTAAATGCGGCACCTCAACTCTTTGCCCTGTGGTGTAGAACACCAGCCAAGTTCACAAAGCAACTAAGCCAAATACAATTTCCTTGTTTGGGGGGGCGGGTGAATGGAAGTGTGAACCGAGCCGCAGTACCCCTTCTCAGGGTGGGGCGTCTCCTTCCTTGGCTGCAACGTTTGCAGAAACAGCTGCTCTAGAAGTAGAGCTTCCTTGATTTTTTGTCCTTTGGCATTCTGTTTATGGGTTTGGCAGCCTTGGGCTTTAGTGTTCATCTAAGCGGGTTCAGACTAGAGAAACAGTTGGTATCCATTTTCTTCTCTCCCCCCCCCCCTGCAGAAACAGGCAGCAAGGAGGACCCCGTGGCCGCTGAGGTTATCAACCCGATTGTCCTGAGGCAGCGAGAGGAGATCCGGGAGAAGCTAGCAGCTGCCAAGGAGAAGAGACTTTTAAACCAGAAACTAGGGTACCTTTTCAGCTGTTCTGTCTTCACTAGCCTTTCCCAACCTCTTTCATCGCGCTGGATCCTCGTCGTCCCCAGCTAGCAAGAGCATGCAAAAGAATTTCACTACAAATTCCTTTGCAGGCAGAATTTTGTCCCCAGAGAATGCTTGGCTGGAGACGTGCTAGCCAGAAGCAGTGGCCAAGCAGCATTCCTTTAAAAAAGAAAAAAAAAGGAAGACAAGAAGTCTGCAGATAGACTGGGGGATTACTGTGATTAAACAATGTGTGAAGTGGTGAAGGGAGTTTTTCCTCCTCTGCTTACCTTTTAAAAAGCCAGCTGTGCTGTGTTGTGCTGGCTTCTTCCTTTTCTCAAGTCTTTTCTAGAATAAGCACAGGACAGAACATGGCCATTCTGTACTACATACCAGGATATTCTGGAGAAGAGAAGAAGCATTTGCATGGACTCTTACAAACAGAGCTTGATATTAAGGGTGGCGGACATTTGATTTCTTTGCGACCTCTGTCTGTCCTCCTTAGTTTGGTGAATACTGGTTTGGATTTTTCAAAAAATCCTCAGAAAAGAATACCCGATCTGAAAACCACTGTATCAAAGCAAAATGGGTTTTTGAGGATCCACGCATCCTTTGGGAGTTGTAATCTAACTCATCTGGAAGTCACTAAACTTAAAAGGTCGACCGCAGTTTTCCCTAGGGCTCTTGCAGAAAATAGTTGATTTAGAAAGGAACAGTTCCTTTGGTGCTTAGCTCCAACTGTATCAGGTTTCCAGTTTCGCCTACCACTTAGAAATGTTACTATTTGAGTTCTACTTCTAAATTATTTGGTTTAATATATGTGTTTTGTATTTTACTAGAGATCTATTTTCTTGAATTGCTTTTTCTCTGGTCACGTCAGCCCCAGGAGCAGGGCTTTTGGTAAGGGACTTGTCTTTTCGTACCTTTAGGAAGATCAAATCACTTGGGGAAGATGACCCTTGGCTGGATGATACAGCTGCCTGGATCGAGAGAAGCCGGAAGCTACAACTGGAGAAAGAGATGGCTGAGAAGAGGGTCAGTGTTGGTAGTGTCTCACGTCAGGTTCAAAGTCTCAAAGCTGCCTGTGCCTTAACTAAGGGATTGGTGTCCTCCAGGAGTGTCAGTTTCAGCCATTCCTGAAGGATTTGGTGGACAGCATGTTGTCCTACACTTTGGACAGTGTGAGGATACCAGGATAGGTCAGTGGTCTGCCTCTTGGCCAAGGATTACCCATGTATTGTGCTTTCTCAAATAATACCTTTCTCAGTATGTTTCGAGCAGCTGCTCACTGTCACTCATGTTTGTGTTATTTCATTCGCCAAACAGGCCAAGCTCTTGGAAGAGATGGACCAGGAGTTTGGCATCAGCAGCCTCGTGGAGGAGGAATTTGGGCAAAAGAAGAAGGTGAGAGCTGGAGGTTGAGAAAGCCCTGTGTGGTCCCTTCCTTCAGCAGCCGCTTTTCTAGTTACACACAAAGACACGTGTAAGCAGCAAATGGAACATCTAGGTAGGGGTCTTCAGAATGAAGACCTGCAAGTAATGATCTTCCTGGCTGATTATTGCCTTGACATTCCAGTTTGCAGAGGAGTGTCTTCTCACCCTCACCTATGGGAAGAAAATTCAAATGAAGGATTTTCTCATTCTTTTGCTGTCAGCTTGGGATCCAGTCTGCCTTGTTTTCTCAACTCTTCACCATGCTAAATATACCAAATGCCTCCAGCTTTTCCATGTACGTTTTTCAGCGTTTCTCAACTTTAGCAACTTTAAGACGTATGGACTTCAACTCCCAGAATTCCCCAGCCAGCCATGTTGATACAATCTGAGATTAGCTTTCTTTGCTGCTCCATCACACTCTTCCTGCATCTTTTACCCCTTCAACCAGCTTTTCTCGATTGATTGATTGATTGATTGATTGATTGTTAAACTTGTATGCCATCCATCTCCCCCTTTAAACTTCTGGAAAATGTAACTGTTGGCGGTACCACTGAGAGATGTTTGGGACCTTGTATCAGGCTTTCCCTCAGGAGATTGGGCTAATTAAAGAAAGCAACAGCTTCTGATGACTAATTTAGTATAGAAAAGCTGAGAAGCCATTATGAAAGAATTCCAGGAAGTGCTGAGTATCAAACGTGAGTTCTGTTCATAAAAGCCAGTGTTCAGATTTCTTGCATCTTTCTTCTGCCTATGCAAAGGTCTAGAAACTGTTCTCTTATGTCGTGGCAGGGTTGGTATCTGAGAGCAGCAGGGAGGGGTGGAATTGTCCTGGGCGCCCTGGGTGTTCATGCAATAGTGGTGAGATGAGGCTAGTACGAACGTGCCATGCTTATAGCCACGTACACGTATTACATAATCTTATAGCCACAGGCACGTGTGTGATACAGGCCCCTGCTGTGGTGTTTCTGTGGGTCCAGAGTCACCGGAGCCTTCTCGCTTGATAAGGGATCTTCAAGGACAGCTGAGGGGAGGGCACGGCATCGTGCCAGAGTAAAGGCCCTCTGGGGCTTAGGTACTTCGCATTTAGTTAAGCATGTCATAGGGGAGGCAGATACCTGTTGGGTTCACTGGCAGTAATACTGTAAATACTATAAACCGCCCAGAGTCACTCTGTGCTTTTTAATTGACTGTACCCTACCCTCCTTATGCTGGTCTTTGATTTGATTGATTGATTCTCTTATGGGTGAGAAATGCAATTTCCACGTGTTCCTTGTTTGATCACAGCCTGATCTAATATCTGGCTGTTTATTTTTGACTTTGTGAGAGCTAACTTTCACACCTTGCGGGCGTTGGCTGAGTTTTATTTCCAACAGCTCTCTCGGCAGTTGAAGTCTCCTATTAAGTCTCTCCTCCCTGGAAGTTCCGTCATGCAGTCCCAGCTCTCCTGGCTGCCTTGGTGGTCAATAATCTACCCTGACAATAATATTTGTTGTGGGGGTATATCTTCTTGTTCCTCCTCCTTTGTGTTCTTACTCAAATCCTCTCAACCGGACCCTGAAGATCCAGTTCCTGGATGTTAGTATATCAGTGCAGTCCTTCATATGTAACGCCACCCCTTTCCCTCCTTTTGCCTAGGAGAACTTGGTTTTTATAAGTTACACTCTTCAGTGCTCGCCTTCTAACTTAGGAGTATCATTCCACCAGGTTTCAGTAATCCCTACTATTTTCCTTCCTTCGTTAAGACTTCTGCTTCTTCTTGTTAGTTTCCCACGCTCTCTGCATTTAGCTCACCCACTGTGCAGCACTGCTCGTGGCCAGTTGATTTGGCAATAGCCCTGTTCAGCTTTGCGGGCTCTTCCTCCCAACGAACATCAGCAGTCGTGGCAGGTGGAAACCCCAGAAGACAACTATGGCTCTTCCACTTTCCCCTGGTCCTTCTGCAAGGACCCGCATCTTTGGAGGGAATCTGCATGGTTGGCAGTGGCCATTTCTAGTATTCCCAAAGCCCTCTGTTTGGCTCCACACCTCCCCTGGCTCTCCTGACACCTGCTTGTGCTCTCTTGTTCCCAGCAGGTGGGCTACAGCTCAGAAGACCTGAAAGGCCTGACGGTGGAGCATACCATTGATTCTTTCCAGGAGGGGGAGACGGTCGTTCTGACCCTCAAAGACAAAGGTAGGAGCTGGATTTGTGCTGCCTTCCCCTCTGGGCCCCTTCCCCGGCGACAAGCACTGACCCCGACCACGTGTGGTCCCTTGTTGCGGACGCCCGTCCCTAGCTGCCCATCCTCCACTGTGGAGGAGCAGCACTCCCCGGCTGCCGTGTTCGAGCTGACCGTCGGCACCCCTTTAGGCGTCTTGGAGGAGGAGGGCGGTGATGTGCTGGTGAACGTCAACATGGTGGACAAGGAGAAAGCCAAGAAGAACGTGGAGCTGCGCAAGAAGAAGCCAGAGTACAAGCCCTACGAAGAAGATGAGAGCGTGGACGACATGGTGATCGTAAGCCTGCCTCCCTCCCTCCCTCCCTCCTCTTCTGGGGCCCCCAGCCACTTCCCCAAATTGGACTGTGTGGATTGTAAATGTTTCCTCCTCCTGGTGCATTGGGTTGCCAACCGAAAATGAGGGGCAATCAATTCAGGCAGACCCGGAAAGCACAGCGAGAGAGGAGCCAGGCTGTACGGGTTTCTAGCTCCAGTTCCAGAACCGTAGAATTGCGGAGTTGGAAGGGACCCCAGGGATCGGCAATGCGCAGGAAAATCAGTGAAGCCATCCTTGTGAGAGGGCTGCCCGGCCCCTTCTTAAAACCCCCAGAGATGGAGAACCCACAGCTCCCCGGGTGGGCTGCTCCACAGTTGCACCAATCTCAAGACGTTTTTCTGTATGTTGAAATGAAATCAGGGTAGCTGCAACTTAAACCCATTCGCTCTGCTTGTTGTTCCCGTGTTTCAACGGTTGCTTCCTGCCCTGGTTGTGGTTTTCTTGGAAGCCTCGGGGAGAAGCAGGACCCGGACGTACAAAGACTCCCCGGGGTTTGAATCAGCTGGGCTGCGCGCTCTGCAGTCCGCCTCCTACAGGGGCCGGCTGGGTTTGGACAGAAATGGGATGGGCAGCGGGCGGCAGGCCAAAAGAGAGTGGCCGAAGGACAAAGACGCTGTGGCTGCCAACTTGGGCCCTCCAGGAGTTGCTGAACAGAGACAGCAGCTGCCACAGCTGCCCTGGCCAGTGGTGAGGATGCTGGGAGCCTGGGAGCCGAGGCCCAGAGCCATAAGTCCTGTTGTGGCACAGACTTTAATGGTGGGGTTTCTATACATTGCGCCAAGCCATCGCCGCATAGACCATGTGGTGCTAAGATGGAAGTAAACCGCCTGCCACCAGACGTTTGGAGTGAGAGGGCAGAGCTCCTTTTGGCGAGCCCGGCTGACGGCCGCCTCCTCCTCCCTCCCCACAGTTCAAGCGCAAGAGCATCCTGTCCAAGTACGACGAGGAGATCGAAGGGGAGAAGAAGAAGTCCTTCAAGCTGGATTCGGTGGGGATGGCAGATGGGTCTCGGGAGCGGGAGCTGCAGCACATTCGGGACAGCCTGCACACTCGGGCCCAGACTTTGGACATGCCCAGCCTCCACCTGGCCTCGGAGTACTACACCCCCGAAGAGATGGTAGGGTGAGACCTCAGGGCCGTGGCTGTCACCAGCGTTCTGGGGGAGGAGAGGTCCCGAAAGCTGGCGGCTGGAGGAGGAGCCCGGCTGTCGGGAGGAAAGGGGTCCGGCCCGGCTGCCCGTGGGTGGGCCGGGAGGTGGTGCCGACGGGACTGTGGGATCGGAGCGACAGGAGCATCGCGGGGGGCGAGCAGAGGGGCCATCCTGCCCCAGCTCGTAGCCTGCCTTTCACACGTCCCCTCCTGGCCACAGAGCACCACCTTCAAGAAGACTCGGCGGCGGGTGAAGAAGATACGCAAGAAGGAGAAGCCCGTGAAGGCCAATGACCTCCTGCCACTGTGCACCGAGGGCAGCGAGAGGGACTTTGGCTCCAGGTCAGGGCCGGGGCTTAGCTGCTCGGGGGCGGAGGGGGAGCTCCAGGGTTTGCGGCTTTGAAATCCAGCTCCCTGGCTGGAGTAAACTCACTGATTGGTGAATTCACCTGTTTCCTGACTTGGTGTGACTGAACCCTAAGATTATCCCACATCTGCTAAGCAAGTCAGAGCAGCTGCTGAATCTTTCACCACCCAGTGAAACACATGTGAACTCAGCCACTGGGTCACTGCCTGCCACAAAGCTGGAAGAGGGATGTGGTTGTGTCTCCGTGCCCTTCCCTCCCGCCCTCCTGCCCTCCATCACGTGCACAGGTGCCCTTGGTTCCAGTGGCTGTTTTCACACAAACTCCTGAGCCAGCCTGGGTAGCAGTTCAGGGGTTCGGGTCCACTCCCAGCTCCTGGAATGACCTAGGGCTGGTCTTGCTCTCTCAGCCTAGCCCACTCCACAAGATCGTTGTGTGTGGAGAAAACCTGGAGGAGGGAGGGTTTGCAGGCCACCTTGACCTTCTAATGAACAGGTTGGCCCATTTTGGCCCCGGGTGTTGTGCAGACCCAACCTGAGGGCCTTTCCCCAAGAACAGCCCCCAGCCTCGATCACGAGAGGGAAGCCTCTCTGGGTGGGCGGTCCCTTCTCGTCCAGCCTGATCCACCTTTGCCCTGCCTCTCTAGGACCCGGGGCCGGGGTAAACGGAAGGCGTCCGTGAAAGAGGAGGAAGAAGAAGAAGAAGAAGAAGAAGAAGAAGAAGGGGAGGGATCCCCGACCTCCAGCAGAAACAGAGCTGGGGAGCAACTGCTCCAGTCAGATGACATCCGTGTGGAAAAAATGGAGATCAGCAGCGATGATGGTGAGGCGGCACCTGCGTTGGATCACTGACGTTAAAATGCTTGGGGAGGTGGAAGATACACTCCAGAGCCCACTGGAGCAGGCGGCTATGTTAAGTCTAAGCCAGTGTTGTCCAAACTTGGCCACTTTAAGATGAGTGGACTTCAACTCCCAGAATTCCCCAGCCAGCCAT